ATTTAGGTAAAATTCAGAGCCCTTCAAAAAGCCTTTGTTTCCTTCTACACAAACCCACACTATATTTTGATGTTGCCTTCATCTCTGTGGTGATGGCCCAAGATGCTGCAGGAGATCAGGATAGCTTTAAAGAACAGGTTCCATCTTGTCAGCACAGTTTGTGTTTCAGATTCTCAGACCACTGCATGTGATTTTAAGTGAAGCCATCCTGGTCACCATTCCTCAGGGTTTGCATATGCAAACAGATGCACAGCCACTGAGGTTAGTGTCTGGGTCAGTGGTTTCACGAAGGGGAAATCTGGATCTGTGGGGATGACTATTTGCATAGGATTGGTACATATACAGAAAAGAAAGGTTACTGACAATCATCATATTAAATACAATGCTTAAATAATGATACCTAGAACTAAGGCTTACTCCTTTGGAATGAAGACTTCTGATGAATTAGCAGAAGCTTATTCTTTTCCTTAAGGTCACAGGACCAAAGAGCATTTTGTATGTCCAGCCCTGGGTGGTTACACCTCTACACAACATGTGACCAGCTGAATTGGTTTTGTGGGTTGCTTTTGTGGTTTTGTGCAACACCTTCCCTCCCAAAGCTGTGCTGAGCACATCAATCCATACATCTGCTCCTTGTAGGGTCAGCAGAGACATCTCAGAGCACAGGCTACTGGAGAAAGTACTATTTCTACTATTAGAGTAGAAAAAGGAAAAGAGGGGTCATATTCACTCACAGAGTCTCAGCAAACTGGAGGCAGGTTTTTCTCCCCTTCCATTTCATTGTCACTCAAGCATTAACATGTGTATCACACATATAGGTCTGGAGCCCATACAAGGAACTTGCTCAGGTAGGTTTGGACTGTCTGCTGGGCTCTTTAACCATTTTAAAACTAGGGATATTTCTGTTTTAGATGTGGAGGACAAGTCAGGTGTAAATGTTGTACACCTGGTGAGACCCGTGTTGTCCCCTGCTTCACTGTCAGTCACCAGGTCCCCAAGCCCCACACTGCTAACAGGCTTGAAAATCTGCCACTGTCATTGCTGCTGGCACTGGCTGGGTTTCTCCTATGCCTGTGTAAAAAGAATCCTCACTGTTTTTCCTTTCCATTGGAAGATGACTTAGTAGAGAGAACTGGAGAACGGTGTTTCACTCTCTGATGTTTTCTTGAGCCCACAGCCTTCTTTCACTGGAGATGAAGCTGATGGAACTGCCCGAGGAGTGAGAACATTGCCTCCTGTACTATTAGAGATGGATCTGTTGTCTCCAACAGACCAATGGGAAATCTCCAGAGGAGCCCAAAAATCCCAAAGGGCAGCCTGGAGATGAGAGCAGAAAATTACATGGTATACACAGTAGCATTCCTAACACTTACTATTTGCTTTACAAGAGACATTTCTGCTGCTTTCATTATACAAGAAATCATTTTATAAGCCACCACTTTTGGTTCAACTATTGCTGAGAATCAGACACCAGAGAAATTCTGTACTTTCTGAGAAAAAGTCATCCTTGTCCTCTGTGGGTACTCTCCTTCTGCCTGCACAGGCAGGCTAGGAGGTCTGTGATTTTACTGAGAGCCATAAGATATCTGTTTTGACTTTATGTCTCTTGGCTTGTGTGTGAATGCAGTTATGCCCTGCGCAGTAAGAGCATCACAAACATGAGCAGTAAATGACTGTAGTATGCTATGTATTTAAGGATTGGTGCCCTACCCATAGTAGACTGAGTTAAAGGCTCACTTTGTTCCTTGAACTTGGTTAGTCTATTTCCTCTTCTCTCCTAACACAAATGTATTAGAGATTGTTGGAAGGAATCTCAAGCTTTTGCATTGTAGCAATTCTGACAAACTTAGGAGAATGTTAAAGATTAAAGCTAAGAAACCATTAAACCCATACAGGTGTAAAACAATAAATTAATAAAATACTCATACGGCTAAACTGTTCTTCCTATCTGTGGTGATGTAAATCTGGATTGTGGTCTGCTATCAGACATGACTGTCACGGCAGATGCTTGCAGTTTCTTGATAACATTGCAGTAGTCTTTCCCTTTCTCCCCTCTGGCTCAGGCTGAGGATAAACTACAGTGGGGTGCTGAATGATGCTGACAACTGCACAGCAGCTGTGACTATTTGACTACCGCCTTTGGTTGGCCGTTGTCACACCATAGGATACCGGGTCAGGAATGAACCTCCTGAGATCTGCAGCCCTACAGCAATCAGTGTGCTAGGCATGCAACCGGAGCAGTGGGAGGCCAGAAGAGGAGGGGAGAAGTGGGAATATGTCTGCACAGAGTACATTCAAAAGGGGAGGTATCACAGCATGGAGTGGTGTAGAAGCTACATGCCAGCACTGACTGAGGGATAGGAGCCAGGAAGGACTCTTGTACAGACCTCCTCCCTTTTTATGACTACTACTGAAGTTGTAAAACTACAGTTTGTAAGCAAGTCACTTATATATTTGCTCTCCTTAGGTTACAGAGAAACCAAGATCTGGTTCATCAAAACGATTCCTGCCCAAATTATACAAGGTGATGATACTAGAACTGAAGATGTTCCAGGCATTTGGCATCTTAAAATGGTGCAGAAAGGAAAAAGAAAAGGATAAAAGGGAAAGGCGGAAAATGAAAAGGGAAAAGGAAAAAGGCAGAGGCAGAGGGAAAGGAAAAGAGAAAGGGGAAACGGAAAGAGAAAGGGGAAACGGAAAAGGAAAAGGAAAAGGAAAAGGAAAAGGAAAAGGAAAAGGAAAAAGGAAAAAGGGTTTTTGACAGTATGCTCAAACCTGAAAATTGTCATGCTCAGCTTTGCCTTCTGGTGATGTATCAGCTGCCTCTTGTGTCTCTGGAACAAGCATTTGTGAGCAGCACAGAAACTGGAGAGATTGCAAACCCAGCACAGTGTGTAGAGTGTAAGATATTTCTATTGCATTTTTTAAATTTTTCCTATGTGCAACATCTCTGCAGGCCTGCACAAGGCAAGCTTTCAACTTCAACTAGCTTTCTCCCACAGACTTTGAGGATGGTCACAGCCATGCTGTGCTGTGCAGAAGTTTTAAAACTTTCCCTGACTCCACATGGGCAATTTCTGCAGGAAAAAAAAAAAAAAAAAAAAAAAAAAAAAAAAAAAAAAAAAAAAAAAGGCTTCCATCTGCATTTTCTGCCTTAATTTTTGCTTCAGAGCCCACCTCCTACTCTATCTGAAATAAATGCTTTTCCTCCTTTCCCTGTCTCTCTTATTATGTCCGGGATGGCTTCTCATGTCCTCTTCTGCCCCTGCTGTGCCTGTTGTTAGCTATTGCCTGCTGGTTTTCCCTATCTGCTGATTCCCTAAGAGAGGCAGTGAATAGGCTCCCTGTGCAACAGAGGAATCACAGGCTGCCTGCCAGCCATTTGGGCCTGTGCATAATGGCAGCAGTAGTCTGGTGGTCAGTTGGAAATAAGGCTACACATAAAGGGACTAGATAAAGGTCTCAAGAAAGTCTTATGGAAGCAGGTGTTGTCAATACTTAATGGACATTCTAGAGTGGTGAGGCAACAGTAATGAAACATCAAATAGAGATGCTATAAAAACATCAGATGAGTCACTCTGTGATCTAGTCTCAAAATATTATGTTGATAATAGTTTTGTACCGATGATGGCTAGGATACATCAGCTGGTCCTGGGATCTCTCTCAATTGTGTCTGCAAGTATTAGACTTCTATTTTGCTGTGAGTCTACAGGTTTTTTTTTTCTTGTAAAATGGCCCATATTACTTGTCAGGCGTGTTATTACCCAAAGCTGCTCCTTAGAATCATAAAACCATAGAATCGTGTAGATTGAAAAAGACCTTTGAGATTATCAAGTCCAACTATCTCTTTATTTGGTGTGAACAAGTAGAGTGTCACTGAGTAAAGAAAGACAAATATGAATCTCTATTTTCTAAGGATCTGAGCCATTTATACATCCATCCACTTACACAGAATTGCAAACTCATAGAATCATAGAATGGCTTGAGTTGGAAGGGACTTAAAAGCCCATCCAGTTCTAACCCCCTGATATGAGCCAGGTTGCCACCCACTAGATCAGGCTGCCCATCCAATCTGACCTTGAATATCTCACGGATGTGATATTCACAACTTCTCTGAGCAGCCTGTTCCAGAGCCTTACAACCTTCAAAGAATTTTCTCCTAACACCTAACCTAAATCTCCCTTCTTTTAGTTTAAAACCATTATCCCTTGTCCTGTCACTAAAATTCCCTGATGGAAAGTCTCTCCCTGTTTCTCAACCCTGCACTACAATTAATCCACAAACAGTAGTACAGAAAACCCTTATAGGAGTAGTCTTGTACTATTGCACCATCAATGCTCAGGAGATTATTGAAGGCACTGAATAGGGTCTTGTTGTATAAGCCCCTTCTTAACCACCTCTGAAGAACAATTCGTCCCACTCTGTACTGAACCAGTATAAAAGTAAAGCACCTACATTTGGGTCTGTGCCTGATCTATTTACCTTCTATGGTCAATGATGAGAAACAGGCACTTCTAGGTCATGATTCATCTTGTCTAAGTGCAGGCATCAAGAATAATTAGGTGAATCACATTCTAAAAACTGCTTATTTCTCTCCACTAAAGTAGAAATTTATAACACGAGGCTAAGGTGATTAGCTTATATATAGAGATCTATTCTGTCAAGGTCTCCAGGGAGGTGAGATGAACCCTTCTGCAGGTCTAAAGTAGGTGTGATGAATTGCCCTCTGGAGCATCTCATCCCTCTTCTTTAATCAGAAAAGAAGTCAAAGCTTAGGCTGGGCACTTTACTTCTAAGTTACTAAAATTAAATGAAATTACTTCCATCCTGAATCTGTATTTGCCACTAACAAGCAACTATTTTTTGCTGAAATTGATGGGCTGTTCTCAAAAAGAGACATTAAGGATTCAGGACATAAATGCAGAAAAAACGTCTGAGAAATTAACTTTTTTCAGTATTTTATTTCACGTTTTTATTTTAATTTTTAAGTGGAGGTTGCTTGTTTGTTATGACGATGTGTAACTCTAAAACACAGAACACATAAATTCTCCTTTAGCGTTGGCAGTGAGAGCCTGAGTACTTTGACTAAGGAGAGGTTCTGCCTGCCTGTTTATAGGCAGATTTGGACTCTCTCTGCATAGCATCAGTCTTTTCTATTTCAAGTTCTTGTGTGTCCAAAACTTGAGGAGTGAGAAGATTGCATGCTGGAAGCTGTCTCCTGCCACTACGTAGAGCAACAAGTTTCCAAACGTATTTAATGCTGCTAAAGGTTTAGTTAGAATAAATGTAAAAAGGATCATATTCTTGAGATTGCAGTTAGCCACTCGCACACGAAGCTCAATCCGAATCATCTGAAAGACATGGAAGGGGAGGAAGCACACGTAGAAGACCACCAAGAGGACGATGGCAAGTCTGCGAGCCTTTTGTTTGTAGCAAGCCTGCGTATGGGGCCCTGTGGCCAAGGCTTGAATAATGAGTGCATAGCACAGAGTTACCGTCACCAGGGGCAAGAAGAAGGCAAATATCGTCAGCAGCCAGTTATACCATCGAGCAGTGTCAAGGTCCTCTGCAGAAGACAGATCTGGGCAGATTGTCCTGTTCTGTGTATGCTTAATGGAGATCAAGGTGCCAAAGGGGCTAATCATTGCCAGTGAAATCATCCAAATTACTGTGCAAGTCACCACTGCCCATCTCTTCTTTCGAATGAAAAAGCATCTAACTGGGTAGACGACTACAAGAAAGCGGAAGATGCTGAAGCAGCTAAGGAAGATAATACCGCTGTACATGTTGAAGTAGAAGCCAAAGTGAATAAATTTGCACATGAAGTTTCCAAAAATCCAATTATTTCCATTAGCAGAGTAGTGTATAAAGAAAGGAAGTGTAGCCACATACAGTAAGTCAGTGACAGCCAGGTTTAACATAATGATGGTGCTGCCTTTCCAGGGCCTCATCTTGACAAAGTAAACAAAAATGGTCACAATGTTCCCTGGGAAGCACACCAGGAAAATTAGGCCATAAAAGGCAGAGAGGTAGGATTTCACCTGTAAGAAATTTTCATCCTTGCAACTTGTCGAAGGGTCTGACAGAGCAGTAACATTGTCTGCGTGTTCAGATGCCATGTTTGCAGAAATCTTCCTTAAGCTTTACAAAAATCAGATGTTTATTTTTAACTTATTGTTACGATAAATGCATTCAATTACATTTCTTGTCATTGCAGCAAACGTCTTTATGATAGGTTTTAGTAAAGGGGAAGAATAAGGTTTTGTTAACATACCCAGATCTGACTAAGATCCCCTTCACTCCTAAGTTTGATTTCACCCTTCCACCCACCTTCTGTTGAATTTTGATTAATTCTGCTGAATAATGATTAATGATTAATTTTACCTTTGCTTTATTTAATCTCCTACATTTAAGATGACAATTGCTGCTTACATGCAAACCTACAAGGGCAGCAAACACACTTATAGGAAACTAGAGAGAGTTAGAGGCTTAGGTTTTGCAAAACCATGCATTAGTCCTAGCTTTTCAGAAAGTGAAACTATACCACTGTATCTTATATTCATTAATTTGAACTCATCAGTAGACTGTAGCCATGAAATCAGAGACAGTGTTCTGCTTTCATGGAAGCCAAAAAATGCTCAGCGCAGATACAGGTCTCAGGATCCAACTCCTGTGACCTGACCTGACCACGGTTTGTTTCCTGAATATGGTCATATTCCCCTGAAGTCATCAGAGTATGAAACTGGTAGAAACGCTTTTTAAGAAAAAAAAAGAGTTTGATAGTGGCAAAAAAAAAACCAATTTAAATGACTAAAGACTGCTTCTCAAAGAGCAGAAGAAAGGTGGAAAGCACAGATACTGTTAAAGGCTCTGATCTTGCTTCTCATTTAGTGCAAATTGGAACTAGATAGACTTGTCTCTGAAATAGCTTCTCATCTGCCATGGGCAGTTTGGATCTCTCCACAGTGAATTCAAGATATAACCTTTCTTGATACTGTTTTAACCTGAGAGAATGGTAACCAAGGATGAAATTAACCTCATCTAACTTCAGACATAGAAACACTAGATGTCTAAAGAGGAGCCAGTCATCCTAGAGTCCCCCTTTGCCATCAGGGGAGAGATCTAGTTTCCTCCAGGGCATACTATCTTCTCGTAAGAGAATTTTCAAAGATAAATGATTAACTCTTTTGACACACCTGTTTTTCTCCAATGACGACAAAGGCAGCCCGAGGAGACTAGTTCAGACCTGAACATCTAACCTTTAGATGTCTCAGGTGAGACAAGAGGCATGCTTCTGGGAGTCTTCAATTCACAGGGACACCTACAGCAAGATCAGAGAGCTCAGAGCCTCATTTACCCTGACCTTGAGGATTTCAGTGGGGCATCCCCTACCTCTCCACGTTAGTTCAGAGTATAGCAGCTTTGGCGTCAGAAGAATTTGATAGACTACGAAGCTTGTTTTAAACAAACGCAGATTAGCGTTCAGACAAAAGTTTTCTCTCTCTTCTTCTGCTTGGTGATACCACTGTCACACAAATTTATGTCTTTAAGAATAAGGTATATTTTAAATAAAGCTAGGTAAAATTTCCCAGAATACTTGATTGACCCTCAGTTTAGTATCCTTGTACCGCTGATCTGTACTTCACTGCAATCTTGAACCCTCCAAACTGAAAATGGAGAAATATTGCTTACCTGAAAAACTGCAATTCTGCTTCTAGCTTTTATTGCTGCGAACAAAGAACACTACAGATGAAATGCATTTATGTCTTCTTTACAGTGAAGCAGTTTTAAGTATGGCACAGCAAGTGCAGGTTATAGTATGGCATCAGACACCGGCTTAGGTATCATCTCTCAGACCTGGTCAGATGCAGGAGCTATCTTCTGCCCTCTGCCACTCATGATGTTCTGCCTTCCTAGGATAGATCATGCTTTGCTGGCAGCACTTTCTTGTGCTGAGGTAGCCCTGTAGTATTCAAATAGCAGCAGATCACATTTAAATTAGTATGTATGTGTTTATGAAAGAGAAAATTAAATTTATTCTCCGTTTCCTGCAAAGTGAAACCCAACCACCAAACAGAATAAGCTGTGTTGCCATTTCAAGGCCAGGTGAAACATATTACAACATTGTTTCTACATTAAAAGCAAGCGTCTAACGGAGTCAAATTTTCAGCTCACATAAGAAATGAAGTTTTCTTTGGGAATGATGTGCTTTTCAAGAACTGTGGCATTTTCTGCTTATTTTTGGTGACTAGACGATATGCAATTAGCACTGGCTAGTTATTAATGAGATAGCTGAAGTTGCAAACTTGCTTTCTTTTGAGCCTTTGCTTTCAGGATTCATGATTCCCAAAAGCTGCAATTTTCCATGCTCCTTGAACCAAAAGACTGTTCTTGAATAAAAACCTCATTATCATCCTTAGCTCGAGGAACAAGATCAAAAGAGATTATTAAAAAAATACAAAATCACAGTACCTTGCATTTTGAAACTGCAGGCTTCAGTCCCTTATCTTGCAGCCTGGTCCACGCATATCGGCCCCAGCTGCCTAGCAGCCTCATGGCCTTGGTACAATTTATAGATCCTATTCAGCAATAAGGTCTACGTTTTACTATTAGGGGAGCAAGATTTCAGTTCTGAACAGTTGGTATGTTAGTGTAGCTGCAGAGAACCACTTAGATAAGAAAAGTTTTAGGAAGACCATGGTAACTCTGCTTGGATGCCTACATCATAGGCACGAGTTGGTAGAATGTTATTTGTTTTGTTAATCATGCTGTAGGGAAAGAGTGGTAATGGGCACAATTAAGATTGGGAGTGTCTAACAATCTGTTACCACTAGGGGAAGGGCATCACCTCTGTTCTCAACTGAACAGAGCATTTCTCTAGGTCAATTGCTAGAGCCACTTTTAAAAAATATCCAGAGTTTCTCAATCATTGTAAAATACATTGCTGTGCAGCAGCTCAGGGATCAGCAACTGTTTATACAGCTATTACCGTGTTCCCAGTTACTGCACGTGTCATTAGAAGTCATTTGTATGAGGCTGTAGTGTTAGAAGCACAGAGGGAGCTAATTGTAGTTAGGGATCATTTAATGTATCTGCTACTTAATCCATTACACCTCTGTGCAGCAGGGGCTGGTATTTATCCCACCTTGGTGGTACAATGCCTTACTGGAAGCAAAAATGGACTTTCCCAGCACCATATCTGCAACTGCCAGGGATCCAGGGCACTGTGGTTTCAAACTGGGGTCACCTCCAAGTATCTGACTTGGGCAGGAAAAGAGAACAAAACCTCTATTTTCAGATTTGTTTCAAGAAGAAGGTAATACATGGCCATTCAGAGCAGCTCTGCATGAAGACCAGGCGGTACTCCATAGCCTATCCAAATCTTCTCTCATCTTTGGCTTAAAGAGACCATGCTGCCTCAGACCTTGCCTGAACCTTCACCAGAGTTCAATAAGCTCCTCTTTGCACATAAACTTTTTGAAACATTGCTTTAATTCGCAGCCATTCATTGGTCCAGAGTCTTATATCAGACTTGGGAAACTACAGACAAACCAGGAAGTGCCATTTGTGAATAACTGATCTAAATTGCTTGCATGGTGTCATGCAGAATCACCATGAAAGAAAGATGATTCTCCAGAGTGACTTGCAGCTCTTCAGTCTGAGGCATAATCTGTTTACCAGCACTTTCTTATCTCCATATATCTTTTAAGTGGGCCTGTAGGTAGACGAGCCTGATCCTCACCTAGAAACTAGGTCCTTTTTGTGCTTTCAGGCTTTGCTTACCCAGCTTCCCTCTACAAGCAGTAGAGAGAAATCAGAACATCTTCTGGTTTCACAGTTGGCTTCAATCACTTTAATTGCAGACTGCTGCAGAAACATTGGCAGCACCACCTCCCTCCTCTCTTCTTTAGCCACATGGTATCAGTGCTTCTAATGTTTCTACAGTCATAAGATGTCAACTAATTGAGCTGGATGAAAGAAAACCACTTTCATTATTATTTCTGGTATGCTGGTGAATGGCTGTGGCTCCTCTTGCGTGTGTATGGGCTCTAGTGCCAGGGACTGGCCAGGGCAAGAGGAGGGCAGCAGAAGATGAGCTCATGCAGAGGTATGGCAGTTGAGACCATGTGGCAGGTAGTTTTGTCAGATGAGCTACCAATTTTCTTCAATTTGATGACTATTTGTAAGAATTATGAAGACCAGATAAGAGCAAAGAGGAAGCTACGTGCATCTTCCCTGAAACAACCCCTACGAAATCCTGCAGAGTTCACGTGCATATACGTAAGTATTGCTGTTGATTGTTGCATAGAAAGGAAACTGGAATGATTTGGCAGTAGGATTTCTAATTGAATATTTCCTCTGAAAACTTCATACTATTGGCAGGGTTAGCTATCACGGAGTGTGTGACACAAGGAGGATCTACCTTTTCATATTGTGTTTTTCCTTCAGTGAAGGCAGAGCAAAGAGGACATGCAGGGCATGGGTTCATGTATTTGAAGCACACAGTCTGCTACAGAAAGTCTAGAATACAGAAGTAGAGAGTAAATTCCAGTGCCTTTATTTTGCTTTGTCATGTTAAATCACTTGTGGCTAATTGCCCCTTTCCTCCACATGGGCTGTCCGTTAACTTCTGCAGACACAGGGGCAGAGGAGATGATACAGAGATTTTTGTGAACTCTCAGCATTGCTGCCAAGTTCAAGTGTTATTATGACTTGTAGATGTGAGGGTCAAAAGCTGTCCTTCAGGCTCAGAGGCCACTCTCATGTCATGAAATCTGATCTAAAATTGATGAGTGTAAGTGAAAGACTTCTGTCAGTAGTACTAGGCTTAGGATCAGACCTTGAGACACAGACATGCATGGTGTAGCACAGTAGGAATAACAAAGATAGCTCTGACTGATGACTGTATAGGAAAATAGGCAGTTTGTTGGGCAACTGCTAGGCTCCAGAGTGTTGAGCGTTTCATTATACATTTTACTTTTCGTTCAGCAAACATATAATCTTTCCATGGGCTATTTCCCTTAGCAAGCATGCATTTGTTTGGCTGGTCTTACCCTGTATGTGATTGAATACCTAATTATAGTTGTTATCAGGACACTGTTGAGAAATGCTCTATTCTGTTGAGAATGGTACCGTGCATCTTCATCACAAGGAAAGCCAGCTCTGTTTTCCCTTCACCTTTTCTCCTCTGGGACAGACGGGTAAGGGCAGCATTTTTTAATCCTCAAATGCATGTTAAATTTCAATTAATCACTGCTAAATGCTGCCATCCAATTATGTAGGTAATAGAGACTGTTAATGAAAACTTCTGGAAAGGAATATTTTACCCTCAGAAAATTGCATGTATAATCTGGAATATAAGCAGTGCTACCACATCAGCTGAGCAGAAGTAGTTCGATACAGTTCCAAAAATAGTCTGCATGAATCTGAGGTGCTATTTTATGGCTAATATTAGTCCTGGAAGTGAATCAGTGCTCATTGGCTACAGTGAATAGAAGAAGGAAAAATCTACTGAAGCACTGAACATTCAGAAGGTGAGCTGGTCCGTGGGGAGAGGTCAGAAGAAAGGCAATGGGACAGTTTGCCTGGTTAAAGCCTGTATGTTCTCCAATACCTTGGTACAGCTTGGGCAAATTCATAAAGTGGTGGAATAAAAAAACTTCAGGAGCACCCAGCTATGAAGCAGTCTTAAACATAGCAGCTATGCTGGGTAGTTTTCCCTCCAGACACTAAAAGCCAAACTAAACTCATTGGAGATGTGACAATGGTTGTAATTGTTTTGGGTAATGGGGCGTTTCCTGAAAATGACCAAACTTAGTTGATCCGAAAACAGGGAGGACCGATTTGCTGGTTGTTATTCTGGTTTTTAATTTAGAGATGAAGCAGGCTCTAAACGCTTGTGGGATAAAATGGGCATCCTTGACTTCCAGTGATGTGTAGTAGAAGATTCAGCTAAGGGTGCTGTTAATGTGGCCTCCAGAGTACAAGAAAGTTTGTAGTCATGGAAGATATATTCTGTTGTGTTGCCACCGCTGCTATATTTTTTTTTTGCGGAGCACTATGGCAAATGAAGGA